TAAATATTGCTAGTCCAGACTTCGAATATCAGACAAAATCACAAATTAACCTAGCTTACTGCCGCATTGTCAATTAAAACATAAGATCGGGCCCACCTCACCACATTGTCGTCCTAACCTACCTAAGTTAGGATTGGTTAAGGCGACTAAGTGCTTAGTGTGGTGGTGCGTCAAGTTGAGGAGAACTTCTCCTCGGGTTGAGGGGACCTTCTCCTCTCCCAGATCTCTCAGAGCAGGAGTTCCCCTGGGCACTGTGCTCTCCCCAACTTTGTACTCGCTCTGTGCGAGTGATATTCCCAAAGTGCCAGATACTCATCTCTCTCAGTAAAGTAAAATGTGAGAAGCTATGGCCCATATAGACATCAACATTTATCCTCGATTAAGAATCAAAATACAGATGCGTTGTCACCCCCGAGGACTAAGATAGAATGCCCATTTACAATAAAAAAGGGGTCTCCGTATCTCTACACCCACCATACGAAACACAGCAGTATTGAACTGCTATTTTACGATGGTATTCTGTAAGAGCGTGGTCCTTCCCCGGACGAGCCGACCCATTCATGCTACAATCATAATATAGCTGCAGCGTGGCTCTACCACGAACAAAATGTTTAAAATGATAATTTCGAAAGTATTACATCTTAGCCCACAGGAGTAAGCACCATCAATTAAGCTGATTTGACCATACGTAAAAATATAAAAATAAGGCAAAAACGTGGTCAATACAGACTACTCGTATTAAGTGCTCTCGAGCAAACCATGTTCTAATAATACTGGTACATTGTTAGTTCACATACTTAAATTTCATTTCAATTCATATATTTTTAAAAAATGCTGATTTTTCCGACGCTGACGAAGAGATAAATAAAAGTAGTGAGGAAACCATGTCTCATAAATTTAAAAAATACTGGACTGCGAGTTTATTAGTCATGATCATGAGGCCTGTGCCCATGTGCCCAGCATCTAAACTATTTGTGTCATAGCATTGTCCGTGGAAATATTATTATTTAACATTTTCTTTGCATAATTTTAGCCGACTTTAAAAAATGCCGTGGCTCTCAATTCGACAGTGTTCCATTTTGTACATGTTACTGTGAACCGATTATAGAGATTCCATTTTATTTGATAGGTTATACTTCGGAGATGGTCCCTAATTTGGAGAAAAATTTCAACCCTAAGACGGGGAAAATAGGCAATTAAGTTTTTAGCGCCACTACTTAGATGACAATCTAGTTGTTAACTTTAGGTAGTGATATTACTTTTTCCACTCAAAATGGTATTTTTTTATTTTTAATAAGGATCACTTAGTCTTTTCTGAAGTCGGAGCTTTAATTCTTCTGAAGCTTTTATGTGAAAATTATTTTATTCTTTTTAATTATTTAAAAGCGGCTTTTAATAATCATTAAAAATTAAACTTTTCAGTTGCAATAGTAAGACAATACCTACCTTCGAAACTGATACATGAAATGATGGAATAAATAATATAATTATAGAAACAAAATCTTTGGGACTTACATCACACAAATTAAATTACACAAGTATAATATATAAAAATTAATTTTTGTTTGTTCGTATTTTATACGCTGCCATACCGTTCATCAGATTGCGGTAGAACTTTGTCAACATGTTACTTGAACGTCCGCGAAAGTCATAGGCATAATTTGACCCGGTAGGTGGCGCTGTTTGAGGTGTAGAATGCATATATCACCCACCACCACCACCCAATAATGGTGGCTCCCTGGATGATACTCAATTATCTGTAATAATGATATCTGTACAAATAATGATATCTGTATCATCATTATTTGCACCTGCTAGTCTTCCGTGTATATAGAAAATTTTTCTAGAAGAGACGGTTATCACACGTGATGATTATCACGTGTGATAACCGTCTCTCAGCGTCAACATATTTGTGCCCTTTGACGCTGGTTCCTTACCACATCGGGGTGTTTTATATTTGGTGTCAACGAGATGATCTTTCTGACGTTATCTGTGGCCGCCTGTTACAACATATACTGGCAAAAATTGTACCTATGATGGATTCACTTACCCTACCAACACACGGCAAACTAAATAATTTATCTGTAGAAAAGTTGTGTCTGTAATACTAATATTTAAAAAAAATAATTCCACGGATTTTATAAAAGCAATTAAAACCAAATTAGTGGTCAATTGTAGTCTATCTGTTGATGAATTTGGTATGTAGATGATCCTAGGCAGCATCTAATAATTAATTCGATTACAGGACTTTAAAAAAAGGCGGGTCTGTTTTCCTTTTCTTTAGATTTCAATTAATTTTCACAATATATCTGCTAATGATCTTATTATATACTTAGTCATAAAGGGAATAACTTAGAGCTCTTAAAATGTGTTTAATATTTTTATAAAGTTTTAAATACCTGCGTAAAATAGCAGCTTAAGGCTGCTATGTTTGGTATAGTGAGCGTAGAGAACCGGTGACCCTTTTTACTGGAAACGAGGCATTCCATCTTAGTCCTCAGGGGTGATATCGCATTTGCATTTTGATTCTTAACCGAGGATAAATGTAGATCTCTATTGGTCACAGTATCTACTTAGCTCGTTTGGCGCCCTTATTAATAAAAAATGCTGTACGTGAACCGTTTAAAACTGCGACGATCACCTTCGTTATATGCTACAGGTACAGAGTCATCTGTTATAAAATGCGTACGTATTACCCGCTTTTAAAATTCCCTCATAATTTAAATTCTGCTATAACTTGAATTGATAAGTAGTAGAACCATCTACCAACAAACATAATTATATTATAAAATCTATTAACCTGCAGAGCAAAAACCCACCAGGGTTTATCACCAGATCAGCTCTATGGTACGGTATGGTATTGCATTGTTATCGAAGTTATATTAGGAGGTACCACCACCACCTACCTACGTGGTAGTCTCTCCGGGGATGGACACGCTCTTCCAGAATAGCAACAATAACAAAATGTCAGCTTAATGCTGCTGTATTTCGTATAGTGAGTGTGGTGGGGTAGTATATAAAATATAGCGTAGATCCTCCTGGCGTTGCTCTCTATCGGTTCGTACAGTTTCATCGCAATGGGTTCAACCCTTGAATGAATTAACGTTCAAGGTTCAACCATTCAGAAAGTTAACCCGGACGGACTTTAAAATGCTTAGGCATTCCTTGAGGGTATCCTATCTTCAGTTGTGGACTTGTGATGGGTGATTATAATGATAATAATGGTATTAAACAAACATGACTAATGATTGTTACTTTTTAAATTGTTAAAATAAGACCGCACACATGTATTTGTAGACCCAGATAAATAACTATAGATATATAGATTCTGCAAATTTTCGGCCTATATTCTACATGCGATTTTCTTGTCAATTATTAAATTACACAAAAATAAAATTGTAAATGTATTTGCTCTTAAGTTTTATAGATGGGATTCAGTTTGGGTTTAACTTTAACGTTTGGGTTTAACGCCTCCATGTCGTATCCACGGTACGTGAACTCAACATGGGACCGAGTAAACACAGATACCATACACACTTCCGTTACTGTCTTAGTATTCGGCACTTGCATTAAAACACCTAAAAGTTTTCACTTTTAGTTATCATTTTGATGGAGTGAAAGTTTACAGCAAATGAAACAAACTTACAGGGATAAATTGAGGAGGCTGACTGATGAAATCATATGTCAATGTTGATGACAAACATGTTGAACTATAAAAAATGTCCTTCACTGCCCCAATGCGTGTCGGCGAACTTCACGTGTCCTCTTAATATTTGTTTTATTATTTCTCAGACATGCCGGTTTCCTCACTGTTTTACATGGCGGCATGGTGGTAAATCAGCACATAAAATTGCAATTCACAATAATTTCATTGGTGCCTGCGGATATAGAACCCAGGTTGCTTGCGTACCGTGAAATTTACGAGTGCTTACCCCTAAGCTGCCACGGCTCCATTACATTAAAACTTACGAAAACTTTGTCTCATTAAGAGTACTAAACTGACAAGTTGCAGTTTTTCTTTCAGCAATAGTATAAGTTCTATGCAATAAGCTCTAAAAACGATTTCATATAGAGAAAGAATCATAAATGCTCTGACTTTAATTTTAGCCATAACGGCTGAAATTAAAGATTATGCCATAAAATGTATAAGACGATTGTATAATATATATATATATATATATATATATATATATATATATATATATATATATATATATATATATAAAATACAATGCATATTGCTATGCATTCTTACACTAGTAAGCTCACAGACCACCGGATGACACGGGGATGTCATTGATGTAGACCATGGATATCTACGAGTACATATCACCTCGATGAGAATTAAAAATCAAATGCGAATATTATACTCCCGAGAACTAAGATGGAATGGATGTGCACGCGTATAATTTCAGTAATCAAATCAATCGACGTTACTGCGACTAACAAAACACATACTTCACAACCACCTATCAGCACCGCTGTGTTTCCTTTGGAATTTGTGCCTCCACTAAATGATTGTTGTCTTTTTATTATTTTTCGACAGCGTTTCGAATCGAAACGTTAAAACATTATTATGACTATATCACGCTGCCGCCTAAGGCTTGTAGGGACCTAAGATACTTGTTACCCTGTAGACACGATTAGAAAGCGTCAATTTTCCTGATAAGGTAATAGATATTTTATTATATCTACGATTCATATAATTTTATTGATTAAGTAAATATTTTAAATTAATGCGATGATAAATGATAATGTAGAAAAAATTGTCTTTTCAATTATTATAGGCGTAGGGAAGTGACGACCCCATCGCCCGCTGACGTAACAGTTATGTGACCAAACTGCGACGTCGGCGCAGTCAGTCAGCATCCTGCCAAGAGGTGTGAGCACCGTGCCTAGGCAAAATTGTAGATGCAAAGGTCCGTTTGTGCATATGACCCAACCACGAAACGGTACCGGGCTTGGGCGTCTCCCGTTATTTGGCGTCCATAAAATGGATGATGGCACAGAAAGGAACGCGCATAGGACCGCTGCCTGGGGGTCGCTGGGGCGCGTCTGGAGCTGGCGCTGGACGCGGCAGCATGCGGGCCGCCAGCCGAGCGCGAGGAGCTGCACGATCACCTAGCAGCCCCTCGCATCCATCATCCCCACCAGAAGGCTTGGTGTCGGCTGGGTCTTCTAGGACCCAGCAAGCGGCACCCGCCGCTGGTGGAGCACGTCGCATGCGTTGGACAAAATCCATGAACGAAAACGCATTGCGGGCGTACTATAGGGCGAAAGGGGAAGAAACTGTGGGAATAGCGTATAGGTCTCGGTGCATTGCTTTTTTGCTGAGCTGGAGCCGTCTATCTCCGTCACGGAACAAAACCTGGCAGACCGAGTTCGGTACATCATGCGCTCGAAAATATTTGATGATGCCGAACTCGAACGACTACGACGTGAGGCTATTCCGTCGTCGAATTAATCGGCTATGGCTGGAGATGCAGCTCCACATTCGACAGACCAGCATCCACACGTGGAAGCCGCCATGGATCTTCCAGTTGTGGTTGATTCGAACGACGATGAAATAGTCTCCCACGAACTAGAGCAAATGAGGAGTATATTGGAAGAGGCGATTTTGGAAACGCGCAGCACCCCTCTCGAAAATCGACCGCGACTTCCCCCGCATACCCCTAAGCAAGCGAAATCGGGCTGTCGTGAGGGCTCTTAACCCAATGCTGGTGACCTATTTGGAAGCCAGCCGGGACCTTTGCGAGACGGACTCGATTCTCTTTGGAGCCGCAGTGGCAGTTTGCTGTATTATTGGCGCCAAATTTCCCATGGCTGGACCCGCTACTACACAAAGTAGCGCCATCCCAGCCTGGAGAAAAAGAATCGAGGACCGTATCGCAAAGGCAAGGGCCCTTATCGGCAGACTGACAAGCTTCAGGTCGGGTAATAATAGACCGAGGATTGTGCGCACCGTAAGGATGGCGTTTGCTGGGACAAATATCAGTTTGTCCCAGCCGGATATCACGCAGAAACTAACGGAGCGCATAGACGACCTGAAGCAAAAGATCGCTGCTTGGGGGACGCGGATTCGACGATTTTCCGAGGGGTCAAGGCGGTTCAACCAGAATCGTCTCTTCCAGAGTGATCAGAAGAGGCTCTATAAATCATTGGAGCGACCAAAGATATGTGGAGCGGGCCAAGGACCGGATCAGGCTGACATTATCGCATTCTGGCGTGGCCTGTGGTCAAAGCCCGTAAACCACAGCGAGGGCCCTTGGATGGAAGTTGTGGCGAGCCAGGGTGCGAGTGTTACGCCTATGGACCCCATCACCATAACGCCAGAAGACGTGGCTGAGGCGGTCCGTAGGGCCCCGAACTGGAAAAGTCCGGGGCTCGACGGGCTGCATCATTACTGGCTGAAGGGGTTCATAGTGTGTCACGCTGTGCTCGCCCGACAGTTTCAAGAGGCTCTCGACCAGAAGTCACTCCCGAGCCTCTTCACTACTGGGATCACTCACTTGGTTCCTAAAGATCAGGATACCACAGACCCGAGCAAATACCGCCCCATCACGTGTCTACCCACCATATATAAGACACTGACATCCATTTTGAGCGCGAGAATCACTCGTCACCTGGAGCTGAACCAGGTGATGTCACGCGCTCAAAATGGATGTCGGGGCGGTGGTCGTGGAACTAAGGAACCACTCCTCATTGACGCGATCATAGGCAAAGTGGTGAAACGCAACCGTCGAAACTTCTCTGCCACCTGGATAGACTACAGAAAGGCGTTCGACTCGGTGCCCCATACATGGCTAAAGAGGGTCCTCGAGCTGTACAAGATTGACTGTACAGTTAGAGACTTCCTCGAGCAGTGTATGGGGCAGTGGAGTACGATCCTTTGTCATCTGGGCGAGCGGATGACGGCTGCGGAGAACCACATAAGGATAAGAAGGGGTATCTTCCAGGGCGATTGTCTGAGTCCAATCTGGTTCTGCCTCTCCCTTAACCCTCTCAGTATCTTACTGGAGGGCTCCGGGAGGGGATTTCAGCTACGGAAAGGAGGGACAAAAGTGACCCACCTTTTCTATATGGATGACCTCAAGTTATTCGCCTCCAGTAGCTCCCATCTCATGGAACTGCTAAACATCACTTGTGAATTTAGCAGTTCCATTGGAATGGAGCTGGGGACGGATAAGTGTGCGGTCCTCCATGTTGAAAGGGGAAGGGTTGCTAACTCTGAGGGCATAGACTTGTCTATGCCCGTCAACTTAAGGACCCTTTCCGAGGCTGAAACATACCGATACCTGGGTATGTCACAGAACATCGGTATCGATGAGGCTGGTATGAAACAGTCAGTTTGCGACGTGTTTTATGCACGCTTGACCAAAGTGCTTAACAGCCTTTTATCCGGTGTGAATAAGTCACACGCATATAACTGCTAGGTCATGCCTGTCCTCATGTATACCTTTGGCATACTCAGGTGGACTCAGACTGAGCTTAACGCCCTGGATAGAAAAGTCCGCACTACCATGACGTCCCATAGGATGCATCATCCGAGATCGTCGCTAATGAGGCTGTACTTGCCGCGAAAGTATGGTGGGCGTGGCTTTCTGAGCGCGCTCACCATGCATAATCGCGAAGTGTGCAGTCTCCGTCAATACTTCTTGGCGAGATCGGATGATCCATTCTATAATGACGTCATTTCTAGTGATAAAGGGCTTACCCCACTATCCTTAGCCAACGAGCAATGGCAGGAGCCAGCAGTGCTTAGCATTTTCGACCGGGAGACCGTATGGAAGGAGAAGGAGCTCCACGGGAGGTACTACAAGGCTCTACATGAGCCCTTCGTAGATACAGTCGCCTCCCTCAACTGGCTACGTTTCGGTGACCTCTTCGGGGAAACCGAGGGTTTTGTCTGTGCAATACAGGATCAGGTTATTAAGACCAACAACTATCGGAGATACATCCTAAAGGATGGCACCGTCGACGTCTGTTGAGCTTGTCGCCATCCCGGTGAGTCACTTAGGCATGTCATCTCCGGTTGTTCGGCGCTTTCTAACTCTGAGTACTTGCACAGGCACAACCTAGTAGCCAGAATTCTACACCAGGAGCTCTCTCTGGAATACGGTCTCGTGGACCGGAAATTGCCGTATTACAAGTACTTGCCGGAAGCCGTGCTCGAAAATGACCGCGCCAGGCTCTACTGGGACCGGGCCATCATCACAGACAGGACTATTCTTGCGAATAAGCCTGATATTGTGCTGATGGACCGGGCACAGTCAAGGATATTTTTGGTCGATATTACCATCCCGTATGACGATAACCTCTTGAGAACCGAAACAGACAAGCAATCAAAATATCTGGACCTGGCTCACGAGGTGACCGACATGTGGGGTGGTCTGCCGGCCGAAATTATTCCTGTAGTCGTCTCTGCGAATGGGCTAATCCCAGAAATTAGCCTCTCTGGTCAGAATTATATATTTATACATACCAACCAGATGAGAAAACTATATAGATATTCCACAATAATAATAATAATGTCCTCCAGACCGAATTTCGGCCACGGCGGCCTGTCTCAGCGGAGGCTAGCCATCAGCGCAGGACAGGATTATAGTGCACAAGGGTATGCGACAGCACTGGTGCACTCTCTATTCTCTCACTCTGATAACCCGATGGGACGGTAAACCGACACGACCGGAGAGAGATCAGGCGCAGGACCAACGGCTTTACGTGCTTTCCGAGGCACGGGGGTGAGACACCGCCAACTTCCTGACTCCGGGCAGCTACTGAGAATTTTGTGTCCGACCCGGGATTCAAACCCAGGACCAGTAGTCGCACTGCTACTATCACTAGACCAGTGATTCTCAAAGTGGTCTATATCGACCCCTAGGGGTCTATGACAACCTGCAAGGGGTCTACGTCAGCGAAAAAAATTTTTGGGGGTCCATGAAATGAAAATGGGGGTCCACGATAGTGGATCTCAACACATACACTGATAGTACCTATTTACTTACATCATACTATCTTATAATATCAAAACATATATATTATTTATAAAAGTACCTATGAAGTAAAAAATTTATTATATATGTTAAAATTGTGTAAGTTGTAGGATGTTGGTATTCGCTTTGTGGTCGCAATACATTTTGAACTTGTAAAAACCTGAGAGTCGCAGTCTCAGAGCTTCGCTATCTTGCACTGACTTATTCAATTCGTCACTCTATAAATACGAATGTTGGACAAATATGTTTATTCGTTTCCTGAATCTTGAAAAGGAAAGTGCTAAGAAAATATTTTAAAAAATATAAACAGATATTATATCACACAAATTATAGTAGTCAGTGTTATTTTGTTTGAGAGTGCTGGAGAAAAGTAAGTACATTATTTTTTTATTAAATTTTAGTTTTGTGCTCGTAGTTAGCAAAGATAGATAAATTACGTCAATCATGACTTTAGTTATTAGTAGTTTAATATTCAATCATGCAAAATTACATGAGTACTCCTCAATAGTTTCTTTTTGAAAGTTTCAGCAATGGGTATTATAATTACAGTGCAATCTCCGTAATTCGAGCTAATTGTTGCAAGAAGATGTTCGAATTATGGAATGTTTTCGGAAAAATCAAAAAATATTTTTAATATACAGCTGCTGGATTTTCTGTCTTATTTAAATAATTTAATTTTGCCCACAGATGACTGATGCCATGTCCGAATCTAAAAAGAAATGTAGACAGTACAGTATCGATTATTTGAAATTTGGCTTCATTCCATCATTGCCGGACAAACAATTGCCTATGTGCCTTTTATGCAACAAAGTTTTGGGCAATGACGCTATGAAACCATCTAAACTGCAAGATCATCTGAGAAAATGCCACCCTGATAAAACGGAGAAAGATTTGAAATACTTTCAAACACTCAAAGATAAACTTCAGAAGAGACCTACACTGGACAGAATGTTTGCTTCGACGTCACAAAGAAATGATGATGGTTTCCGGGCGTCTTACAATATCTCGTTACTTATAGCAAAATCCAGAAAACCGCATACTATCGGAGAGAAGTTAATTTTGCCAGCCGTTGAAGAGGTTTAAAAACTGTTTTACACAAACCTGCATCTGATATCATTAAAAGATTTCCCTTAAGCAACAATACTGTTGAAAAACGTATTGATGAAATGAGTTCTGATATTGAAAGCTTCTTATGTAATTATTTGCAAACGACCCATTTCTCTATACAACTGGACGAGTCAACTTTACCTGATGATGCAGCATTATTATTGGCATATGTTCGTTTTATTATGAATCAAGAAATCTAAGCAATTCCTTTATCAAATATAATATCAGTAGCTACAGATGGAGCACCTGCCATGGTTGGACGTTATCGTGGATTTATAAGCTATTTAAAACAAAATGTTTCAGGGGTGTTAGCAATACATTGCGTCATCCATCGACAACATTTAGTTGCTAAAAATTTGAGTGTTAGATTGCATGAATCACTTCATTTAGTCATTGATGCAGTAAACCGAATCCGAAGCAACGCGTTGAATACTCGGTTATTTGCGCAGTTGTGTGAAGAAAATGACGAACACTTTCATCAATTACTCCTTCACACATGAAGTACGCTGGCTGTCGAAAGGCTTATGTTTGACAAGATTTCTTGCACTTTTTGAGACTATTTTAGAATTTCTGGATACCAAAGATAAAATTTTAAAAGAAAATTTAATGAAGAGGAAAACAGACATCGCCTATTTAACAGATTTGTTTACAAAATTTAATATGGTTAATTTGCAATTACAAGGCGACAGTTTAAATTTGATTAAAACAAAGTCCATCTTATCAGCGTTTCTTGCCAGAGTTAAACTAATGAAGCAAAATATTGGACGTGGCGAATTTTCTCAGTTCCCCAATTTGTCACAGACAAGCTGCCAGGAAGACGACGTTTCAACTTACGTTCAACATTTAAATGCCCTCTATTCAGATTTTGAATCTAGGTTTGAGGATATTTTGACTATGGTAATACCACCGTGGATAATTAATCCATATGGTGACATAAAAGAAACGAATGTCATAATACAAGAGGAACTGACTGAACTAAGTACAAACAAAGAACTTAAGGTTCAGTTTAAAAACGGATATCAGCAATTCTGGCTGCAAAACAACATACCCGTTACTTATCCCGTATTATGGGATATAGCGAGGAATCAATTCCCTTTCCATCGTCATACCTAGTGGAAAGGGGGTTCAGCGCTGTTACCAATCTCCTAACGAAAAAAAGAAACAGACTGGACATCATTAGCCGAGGAGATTTAAGATTAATCCTTACAAAATTGACGCCAAATGTTGCTAATTTATTATTAAAGCATCAGGTTCATCCTTCTAACTAAAATATTGACTTATTGCTTATGTTATTTTATTTATAGTTTATTTTATGTTTATTTAATGTTACGCATATTTTACATAACAGATAAAAAAAATTATTATGAGTAGTTTTAATTTAAATTCAATTATTAATATATAAATTAACATGTGTTTTTTCTTTAAGTTTTTAACATTAAACTTCACTACAGTTAGAAATTTACAGAAAATCAATATCAGGTAAGTAGACGGTCTACCCAACACGGAAAAACATGGCAAGGGGTCTACGACATAAAAAAGTTTGGGGAACTCTGCACTAGACCAACGAGGCAGTTTAATATACACATATGTATATTAATTACAGATATCAGGCAGTCAATTTCTTATTCTAACCTTTGTTTTTTATTCTTCCTTTAATTACTTTTGCATTACATTTGTAATAGAGTTTTGAAAAAATAATAACTTACCTAACCTAACTTTTAAATACCAAGCAAAACGTACATACATATACGTAATAAGTTTATGGAAAATACTGTCGCCCCGTTGTCTCAAATGAAGCGATGCCGATTTACAATTCGCTAAAACGAGTAAAATTGTGTATTTACAATTTCCATATCCATCTACGCTGCCACTACTACTAATGGAAGTAACTACAACAAAATAAATTCGGCTGCATTGACAAGTTAATGTTCCCAACGACACCTGTACACCAGTGTGCCATTTACATTGTAGTGCTCGAGTACAGCCATAACCTGTTCGATTACGATGGGAATGCCGTCCTCGTACATACTTAACGTAGAGTAGAAACTATTGTTTTCTATAGCGTTATATCACATTTAAAATTTAAATAAAACACCCGAAAAATATCATGTCACAATGTTTATAAAAACAACATACTTATTAGTTACATTAATTAAGAACAATCGAATCGTTTAAATCATTACGTCATAGTTACTTCAAATTAAACTTAAATTAATTATACTTTGTACCTAACTTTCTGTGTATTTACTAAAAAAAATTGTCATGGAAGAGCGAGACCTTCTGTTACAGGTGGATACTTAATTACTTAAGAGAAGGTCCTCAATCCTGTTCTGTAGATGTAAGAAAGAAATTAATAAACATAATACATTATATTATGATACTTTATGTTTGTGTGGTTTTGCAGTAATCAGAACATTGGAATTACAAAAATATGTGATTGATTCCTGAACGCGGAGGGGAGGGGAGAGTGGGGTGCGCAGAGGCAGCGGCAGTGACCGCCGCAGCCAGGTGCGTGCGGCCATCGACACCATAAAATTAATAACCAGTCGAGCCTCCTAACCAATGCACTTGAGGCTTATGCGCACATCACACATGGTGCATTCGTAACACGCGCTTTGAAAAACTATTAGTGATCGCGCAAAAGCAAAAACAAATACTCATTTAGACGGGTAGTAGGATAAATATTTTCTTAAGCGATCCGGTTTATCGCTATACAGTGTGCTTAGTGTATTTTTGGGTGTTAAATCTTAAATAAAGATGTAAATTACTAAGTCATTAAACAATCATCACTTAACCCTAAAAATTCCATTTCTACAATCATGCAAAATGTACCTATATAAACAAAAGCAAATTATTTCTCTATTACCTATACATATACTCGTACTTATATCTGTAGGTATATGATATAGATCTATATCTCCATCTCTATCTTCTATGTTTATATGTAGTTCTAAGTTGTAGACTTCGACCGAGGTCAATCAAAGTAACTAACTCATCTGGGTTGTGTCCAGGTAATTACAAAATATCTCGTCATGTATCCCTCAAAATTTGAAAACAAGAGTGTACAACCAGCGCGTGTTGTCAATGACATATCTTGAGATTTGGTCCTTCAGTGGTGGCTCTATAAAGCACGAGGTCACTCAGCGAGCTATAGAGAGGGCTATGTTCGGAGTTTCTCTGCGTAATCGACTTCGCAGTGATAAAACCCGAATAACAAACTGTTATGACGGCCATATTGTTTGAAGAACCGACAACCAATGATGACAAAAATTTCTCGAGCGGCAGCCACGTTCCGGAAAGTGAAGTGTAGGATAGCCCCTTCATTAATGGATTCAGGTGGCCCAGGACCATGCTGTTCGCCTTGGTAAACGCCTGTATTCAGCAGTGAACTTGCTGCAACTGCAGTGATGATGATGAATGATGAAGCAATTATAAATACGTTCATACGTGTGTATCTCATCCAATACAGCGATAATTTCGATAATTATTACTATTAATATATTTTGAGCAACCAACGTTAGGAAGGCATTTATTAGAATTCTAAATCTAAATGAGCAAGACGTAATAACGTGTATATTATACGTTAAAATACATTTTCTATAACGCTAAACAATAGCATCTTCATAGAAACTCATTTAAATTCTCGCAAATTGAATTATCATAAATCAGTCATTTCAACGCAATATTATGCTCCATTGAGGTGATTCGTATTTAATAGCTGTTGAACAGACCGCGAACGGATGAGCTCCCGGGACGCTGTGGGTGCTTGAGGAGGGGAGAGGGACGCACTCTGACGAGACGGTGAGTCTGCCTGATAAAGAAGGATTTTATCCGCTCGATTTAGCATGAAATTGGAACACAAAGTGAATAAAGCCACAAGATTGTAAACATTATGAGGTTCCTCTTTTTTATTGAGGGCATTCGGCTTATTTACGGTTTTCTTTTTATTGATCGTAGTAAGTTGGTTTGAAACCCCTATTTATTACCTTGTTAACTCTAGTTAACGAACTCCGATCTCAGTACCAATTCGTTGATCGCAATACACTTAATTGGAAATTTATCGCTTTACTTGTGCACTGCTTAATTGATTCGAAATGAGGCCGTTGAGCAGTTGTTGGGCAGCACGATTTTATTGATTAAATTTAATTGACGTTTAAAAACTTAACTTAAAACAAAGCAATAAATGTTTAATTTATTGATGTGACTATTTTGAGAAATCATATAAAATTGTTCAGGGTGTAAATTAAGAACGCGACCCGTTCCCACGCAGACATGGCGTGGATCCACCAGAATGAATGACTCACTGAACTCGAAGCTCCATTTCCACAAGTCATAGTGCAATTAATAATATACGGCATCCTGTCGAATTATCTCTCATCGTGGCAGGGGTCCGGGCGGCTTTAATTTACCACAATGGAAGTCGGTTCTGAGAAGCGTTCGTCGGCGAGGCGGGCCGATTCCCCGACGAAAACAAACAGAAAATAATTATCATAAAGATGAAGAGCGGCCGCTCGAACCTCGCCGCTGCTAATGGGGGCCCACCTGGCAGCCAGCGCCCTCGCGCCCTCACACACACGCACCAAGCACCTATAGCCGTTAACGCATTCCATCCGATATAAGCCATCCGGCGGACTCATGTTCACCACATAAACACATGATTGATTTTTAATACGGACTTTTGTGTACACGACTTACTATAAAGGTTTCTCAGGTGATAATTTGTTTATTTTTGAACGAGTTCCTCACGCTTCTTAATGCTGAATTTCCACCACAAAAATGATTGCTATATAATTGAATACGGAAACACATTTTCAGTTAATATACACAGAACACGCCAAATCCGCGTGATCTAGAGGTCCGCGTACTTGGTTACTACTTGGTTTCTGATCTCCAGGGTCCGGGTAAATCAGGGTAAGGGTAAGGTCAGGGTAGGGTCGTCAGGGTAAATCTCCGCCGCAGAAAACTTTGTGCAAAAGCCTAAACATCTAGTTTTAGAGCCGTGTCTCTGACATTACGTCATACCTTTTTCCCCGGTACTATCGCGTACCTAATTTATAAACGTTAAACGGACCAGGGTAAGTGAGGTCAAGCGTATTTTCTGTGTCTATGCGTACACTTGTATCACTTAAAAGGACGGATAATATGGACTAGCCTAATAGTTAAGTGTTACGGACTGAACTTTAAAGTCGAGAGTTCGAATCCGCTATTCGACTACTGCCTTTGATTATATACCTGTCTCAAAGACTACTGCGATCAGAACCGGGCGCCCCGGTCTAGAAAATTTAACTTGAAAAAGGAGGAGGTACTCAATTCCGCTGTATGTTTTTGTGTGTGTTACCTCAGAACTTTTTTCTGGGTGAACCGATTTGGATGATTCTTTTTTTCATTTGAAAGCTGGTGCTTTTCATGTAGTCCAATACAAATTTGATCAAGATCTGGACAGTAGTTTTTGAGTTACCGTTAATAATTCGTATTTAATTGACTTCGAATACATTGATAAGGTTCTCATTTTATGTATGTTGAAGTCGGTCGTACATAATTTTTTATTTTACCACGTATTATTTAGTAAGTGCTTGTCTGCAACCCTACAATATAAATAGTATAAGGACTACTTATAGTCCCAGATTATAACCCGGGTTGGCTATAGTCTTATATCGACCTTTATCATCATATTCATAACAGGTCGTAAAATTGAAATAATACTAGTTTTTACGGAATTTATCGCGTATATTTAACTTTTTAAATACCCGACGTTTCGAGAGCTTTACAGCACCCATGGTCACGGGAAGGACTAAGATGTTCAACGTCCAGATGTCATAGTTAACCGCGGTTACCATAGATTAAAATTTAACTTTTGTTCCGATCTATACAGTATGAACTTATGGTATCATGAAGTCTTGCAGTTGTATGCTTGGGTTGGGATTTAATTTTATTTATTATAGGATCCCAAGCAGATGGTAGTACCCAGCCATTTTCTCTATTGAAATTAGGATGTTTTTTGATTTCAATAGCCTCGCGAATCATCCTTGGAAGGAATCGGTGTTCTTTAGCGAGGATTTGTGGTCTGTCAAATCTGATGTAGTGACGGGGGCGATCCTGTACGTGTTCACAGACTGCAGACTTCCCGGAGAGTCGATTCTTCACATCAGCTATATGTTCTTTAACTCGGGTTTTAATTGATGTTTTAGTTTGTCCTATGTAGGAGAGACCACATTCACAATCAAGCTTGTACACTCCTGCATCTTGCAGAGGCATGTTACACTTGACTGATGGTAAAAACTGACCAATCTTCTTCGGCGGCTTGAAGTATGTTATGATAGAAGCGCGCTTCAAGATGTAGTCAATCTTGTCAGTGACTCCTCTAACATATGGCAGTACAGCAGGTACACGCTCGACTGTGGCCGGATTCACTCGTTCTCTATGACGTAGGCGCGGGACCCGAAGCTTGTTGTCATGCAAAACTTGCTTGACGTGTTGGAGCTCGGCAGCCAGGTATTTACTGTCACAGATCCCTCGTGCTCTCTGAAACAAAGATTTACCCTAAAATAAATCTTTGTTAAATTTTAATCTATGGTAACCGTGGTTAACTATGACATCTGGACGTTGAACATCTCAGTCCTTCCCGTGACCATGGGTGCTGTAAAGCTCTCGAAACGTCGGGTATTTAAAAAGTTAAATATACGCGATAAATTCCGTAAAAACTAATATTGTTTCAATGTGTAGTATTCGCGTAAATATAAGAAATCATTAGGTCGTGAAATATTTACAAGAACTATGAAGGCGAAATTTAAACTATTCCTATACTTAAAGCAAGCCAAGCAAAATCTTTAAACAAAAAATAATTTACACAGTCTATAACACGATGTACGTAATATACATGTTTATTATTTCAAACGTGTGAGTCGGTATCGTAGTGTAGGTCTTGTACTGAATATTTTTATCGTTATTTGGCTTTGACCCCTTTATCCGCGCGTTATACGCTGAGACAGTACGGCGCGTAGCGTAGGCCTTCTGAAAACACTTGCAGCTGAAAAACAACCTAGTTTCTGTTACTTTCTTATTCACACTAGAAAACTGAAATTTATTTGTACAATCGACTCATACCAATTTAAAATTTATTTATTTTGGTAATTTTTCCCAGTTATCCAATTGTATTAATTTGCAACGTGTATTTCCGAAAGGTGTGAACAACGCCTTACGTAAGAATATCCAGAGGGAATCAAATCAGGAAATGGGCAGCTGCGTTTTCCTAAATAACAACTAAAAATAAAAGCCACTGTTGCCAACCGGCCTGCAAAGCGTGGCAACTATGGCAAATATCCCATTAGGAGCAATAGATAGGTTAGGCCTATGTCCAGAGGTAGATGTTTGTTACGCTGTGATGTTACTCCGAAACAACAATCGTTATCTTATAATAAGGCATGAATGGACCACGTTTTTACTTTAAATTTTTTTATAGAATAAGGGCGACGAACGTCCACATTCAACATCAAGTCACACATTCCACCTGATGTTAAGTGGATGCTGTGGCGTCTATAGGCCGTACGTATTTTATAACAGATGACGCTGTACCTGTAGCATAATACGAAGGTCGTTGTTGCAGTTTTAAACGGTCTACGTACAGTATTTTTATAGAATAAGGGTGCCAAACGAGCTAAGTGGATTATGTGGCCAATAGACATCTACATGTATCCTCGATTAAGAATCAAAACGCAGATGTGTTATCACCCCTGAGGACTAAGATGGAATGCCTCGTTTCCAGTAAAAAGGGGTCTCCAGATCTCCACACTCACCATACTAAACACAGCAGTATTAAGCTGCTATTTTACAGTGTTATTCTGTGAGAATGTTGTCCTTCCCCGTCGAGCCGATCCATTCGTGCTACAAACATAATGTCTCTACCACGTATAAAATATTAAATTAATTTATTTTTCAAAAATTTTACAAACCAATCGTACTCTGTTCTATAACTGATCACATATTTACAAAGATACATTAGCTTTAAGGCTTTTTACATAACTGATTAATGTACCTACAAACTTGTGTTTTTATACCACTGAAAGTAATATTTATATCTTAATGTGCAATTTTGGAAACACTTATACAACAACCCAATTACATACCCAATAGTATTTATTATATAAGTTGATAGTTTCTTTCCAGTATAAGAGTTCGCCTTTTATGTGACTCCCTCTTATCTTGTTCTTTCAAAACTGAGGTGCAACCACTATTCTGTTCCAATTTGAAGGGTAAGAAATCAGGTTATTTGCTTTTTGTTAGCTTATACAACTTTGACGACGTAACTCTGTACTAGCGTCTAACATCCACTCGTATATCAAATACAAAGAAATACCTAAGTTTTATTTAGCATTACATCTTAAGAATAAAATGTGTGGTGCGGTAAAATAATTGAAAAAAAAATTTAAACAAGAACAAATATAAACTTGAATTTTCACTCTCGCAGTATAGTATACAATACAATACAATAACTTTATTTCAAGCATCAAGGACTTACACATTAAGAACATTGGCCCATTGTAATATATATATATAACCTAAAAAAAAAATTATATATATATATATATATATATAAAATAAAATATAAAACTACTTAGGGAACTTTCTTCTTTGGCGCGACCCTGTATCGGCAAAAAACTACCCCAGAGGGCCAAAAATCGGGAGCGAGGAATGTCTCTTTGTTTTTTGCAGGAACCTGGAGTACGTAGGATTTGAAGTTCGTGAAAGATCGGATCCTCTATGCGGCATCGGCTTCGTTCTTCCACGAAACGCAAGACGTCTTCTTCTGATGTACTTTTGTCCAAACGGCGGATGTAGAGCTGTATGTTCGGCTCCACAATACGCAGAGTTGTACCTGCGTTTATTTTGGCGGTCCCATCAGGTGGACTGTGAGCTCGTTTGTTACCCTATCTAATAATAAAAATATTTTACTACCTAATGGTGAATTGCTATTAAGGCCCCTGTACATATGCAATCAACTTCTTTCTCAAACAAAGTAGGCCACAGACACGTTATGTGTGTCTGTTTATTTGTCTTGTATTTGGAGTGTTTTTTTTTTTGAGAAATCCAAAAATTGATAAAATAAATGATTTTTGACGATTACCTTTAATCTAAATAACACTACATTAATTGACTTCACCCATGCCACCCGAAGCGAATCACTAGCTATATAATATAACCACTTTTGTTTTAATAAAAAAAAAATTAAAAGAAAGACCTGGCAAATTTTCTGGGATTTTATTGTGAAAGCGTATACATTGCCCCAGGAAGAAAACAAACACACAACATATGAAACTCGTGATACCCTGTGGTTCGAGAAAGAGTGTTATCAGAATCAGTATTGATACGTGTAGAAATAACTTTACTTCAGAAAACTCGACTATAAAACTGTAAAATAAATTTTTATTTGTCAAATTATCCAACCTTGCTTTATCGCGCATGTCAGTTAGAGATTGTGGTTTTAGTCTTGTCTAGTAGAGAAGCCTTATTGCATCCATCGATATTGTTGCTAAC